TGTATACTGTATACCTACGATGTATATCGTGCGATATACCGTATAAAGCTCCAACTGGTGGTGGACGCAGGCCTCTCGCCACTCATTCTATCACAGCTTCTTCTGTCATACTCTTTGCTGCCTTCTCGCTCTTCATTATTCTGTGTGGTGCTCATGCAACTTGACTTCCAAGTAGCAACACTGCCACTAGTAAATTCAGTAAACCGACGGTAAACTGGAAAGGGGTCCCGAAACGACTGCCCTGTAAATCGTTCGACCCATTTCGGCGCGAGTGTCGAAGAAGTAGTTGGCAGTAATTGTTTTTTAGTGAGGTCACGTTTTGTTCTCTACAACTGAACATTGCCTTTTCAGCAGATTGTGTGGATTCCCTAAATGTGCTTGAGCAGTTGTTGTTGTGTGGGCGATGCGTCCACTGATAACTACGAAGATTTGTTGCATGTTAGTTTATCAGTTTTTCTTCACTTCTTATCATTTTTTCGTTTTCCTAATACTCTCTCTAAGGTCCGTATAGCTCAGGCTACTTCATTAGAAGAAATAAGCAAAAAAAAACTTAAAGTAGGATCCCCAGCGCTGGTTTCTATTATTTTTACCTCTACGGTATTAACCCATACAGTCAATTTAGCTTTTGAATATTATTTTCATGTGACAAGCAGTCAGCAAGCCAGTAAAGGGTATTATTGTGATTCGAGATTTTCCAGCATGAGGACATAACTTGTTATTCTCTTTCAGAAAGGTCGACGATCGTGCACGGACTGTTCATTTCTAGTTCTTTTTCTGATTTTTTGTGGAGGTCTGGTGAGTGACTGTTTCCTTTTTTCCTGTTGGCTTAGTTCTAATAAGTGGACCTCGGTTTCTGTGAGCACTTCCCAGAGCAATATATAAAGAAAATAAATAAAATTGTCATCAATTTGAGTGAGCTGCTCATGAGCTGTGTGTCACTACCCAGTCTATTTAGGAGGCGCTGCTAATTACGCCCAACTAGGAGAAGTTTTTCTTCAAAGATTATTTCAGGGTTGTATTGCTTGGTACGCGTTAGAGCATGGTGACTCGTATCGTATCATATTCGGGTCGGATAGCTTTGGAAATACATGCGGTCGTAATAATGAACCAATTTGGATACGCTCGAATAACAGCGTTAACAAGGAAACAGTTCGAATTTTCTGGACAGGATATGACTGACAGGAGGTGAAGCACCCATTCGTTATGTTTGAGACTTAGTTCAGACATAACCTGACGAGTGCAGTAATCGGAAGACTTGTATATCTAAGAGCAGGATGTCAAGAGATGTGTTCGTCCCTGTACATTTTTTTATATATTTTCCGCTAAAAATGTAATTTTAGTCAAGAGACTGGATGTCGCAATCATCAGACTTGTCTGGCGCTCTGAATCACATTTTTTTAAATCCGAGTTTTTGATAAAAGCTTTATCGTACACGGCAAACATCGGTGCAGCTAAAGGTCATTAGTTGACTCAGCCACAGTCTTTGAATCTTCGAACTAAAAAGATCACATCTGCAAGAGCAATGATTTTGAGCGGGTCGAGTGTGCTGGTTAAAGGGTAATTGTTTTGTAGGAATCTACTGCATTTCTCAAACGACCAGGTGGGAGTAGTAAGCAAGGCGAACTACCGTTACTTCGAGCTAATCGAGGCTACCTCTCGAGGGTGCAGCCGACCAGAGACGCTTTCTTCGCTTGCAATCTCCCTCACAACTAGGATTGCCATGATGTGAATGCTTTTCGGGCTACCCTTCTTAGCACACTTGTTCCTCTTGTGTTCTTGTCAGCTTTCATCCTCTGCATATTTGTACGTTCACTAATTCATAGATTTCAGATTCATTTTTCCTCTGAACGCTTCGAGAGCTTTTGATACGATATGGGCTTGTGTTCATCAGTGTCCCGATCCGGACTGTTACAACATACAAAGGTGAATTTTTAGAGAAGTTCACCCTACTTGACGCCTGTAATTAGTGCAGTTGGTTAGATTAGGAACTAAAAATATCATGAACAACTTGCTGGCTTGAATTCGTGGGTGATTATGGTGAACTTTTCCGTAGAAGAATTGGAAATCATTACCATCGGCTTGACTGAGGGTCCAGCGTTACGAACAAGGCGCCCTAGACGCTAATCGGCTGGCATTTTGCACTCTCGTTAGTTTCTTTATCTTGATTCTGTAAAAGTGCACCTCACCCCTGGTAGGACCTTGCCCTTGTGAGTATGAACGAAGCTCTGTCTCCTGTAAAACTATGTTGCAGCAAAGTGCCCCCATCGAGCCGAACTGCACCCGTAGTTCCATGTTGTGGACCATGTTTTCAGGACCTCATTAGTTCGGCTTGGTTCCAGGTGTTCTATTATTACATTCAACCGACTGCCTGTTTTACTTCTGGTTTCGCATTTTCAAGCTACAAGCGATCGCCAGAATTGTTTATAAGGTCCTGAAAACATGGTCAAAGTGGTCATATATTATCTTTCTACCCACTGCCGACTCCTAAACGTTTTTGACGTTCTGTGGACTCTGCTGCAAAATCATGAATTTTCGTTCTTGACTCCGCTCAGTTCGAGCGTGCGTCGCGGGCGCTGTAGGCGAAGCTTGGATTAGCTCTTGTATGCTCCGTAAGTCTTTGCCCATCATTCAACAGAAACGATTATTCAGTAGGAGTTCAATTGATCATAGTAACACATAGCAGTGAAATAATACAGTGCGATGGCTGAGGGATGTCGCATCTTGACACTGTTCGTTGATTGAGATGCATTATTCGCAACCGCCTTCGCTTTACATTTTGGTTCACGGTTGAGTATTACTGTGATTGAATGGATACCTAACGGAGAATCGTTCCTGTCACATTCTTCCCTTACTAAACTTGAACGGGCCTCATTGTGGTTCTCTTCAGTTCTCAAGGTTTTCCCTTGTTGATGACTACAGCGTCTCTTTTTCAGAGATCTTATGAGCTGGCAGTGGACCATAATAACAGTTTATGCGTTGATTATGACTCGGCGTTGAACATCACTGTAACACAAACCTCGTTTTGGAGTGTGTCCTCGGCTTCCGGTCTTGAAAAGGTTTATTCAAGCTTTTCTGATGGCTTTACCCTTGATTTAACTGCTTCTTTCGAACTCATCTGCTTGTTCTATTAACGAGTCTTCTTCTTTAAGTGTCGATATCATGAATCGCTGTCTACCAGAAGATTTCCTCAGTTTTGGAAAAGATCTTTTCAGTAAGGTGAGCTACCGAAGGCAGGGGGCACCATGGCTGGAGGCGGCGATTTCTGCCAGCGTCATTGGTGGAAGGAGTGCAATAGGCCACTCCACACTTGGCTTCTCCACCAATGACCTTGGCAACAACCGCTCGCTCGC